TTAATTTGTAATGGTCTAAATACTTATAGTGAAACCAGTTTTCTTGTGGTTGTTTAAATTCTTGAATAGTATGTCGCTATTATAGAAAGACATGTTGCTATTGTGGAACTAATATAGTACTATGTTTATGTTTTTATGAAATTAAAGTGTTATATATGTATTTTTTATTATTTAATTATGTGAATTCGTAGTCCTAAACCGATCAAATCCGTGTTTAAATGGATTGGTTCCATGATTTAAACGGATTGGATTGGTTCTAATTTTTCAGGAACCGTAGATAACGAATTGGTCGTGGTTTTACCCCAATCCGAACCATGCTCACCCCTAGGGACCTGAATATGCATCAGAGACGTTGGATGGAGTATCTAGAGGATTATTAATTTACCATTTCCTATCATCCCAGCAAGGCTAACTTGGTGGCAGATGCGCTAAGTCGCAAGAATAAAAGGATTGTTGCTAGTTTAGCACTTAGAGAATGGAGTATGGTTGGAACGCTCAATGAATTTGGGGTACAAATGGAGGTTCGAGATGAAATGGCTTACATTGGTGCTCATATTGCTACGTCTAAAATTTTGAGCGAGATATTAGAATCACAAAAGTATGATCAGGAGGTAGTATTCATCAAGGCACGAATAGAATCTAATGAAACTATGCCTGGTTGGGAAATTCACACATATGGGAGTTTGAGATATCAAGATCGAATGTTCGTGTCAAGCGACGACTTACTAAGGGAAAAGGTACTTGAGGAATTCAACCATTCAGTATTCGCAGTACATCCAGGAGAAGCTAAGATGTACCAAGACTTAAAATGCCAATATTGGTGGGGCGGAATGAAAAGGGACGTAGCAAAGTTTGTGTCTTAGTGTCTGACATATCAACAAATAAAGGCTGAACACCAAAGGCCGCCAGGGACACTTCAACCTTTACCAATCCCAGAGTGGAAATGGGAACACATAATCATGGATTTCGGAACGGGTTTGCCTCAGTCACCACAGGGACATCACAGCGTCTAGGTAGTGGTGGATCGACTAACTAAGACTGCCCGATTGTTACCGATCAGGTCGTCAAATATGTTAGATTCGCTTAGTAGATTGTTTATCAAAGAAGTGATCAAATTACACAGAGTACCAGTTAGCATCGTGTCTGACCGTGATCCTCGATTCACTTCGCAATTTTGGCAAAGTTTGCAGAAAGGAATGGGAACAAACCTATGTTTTAGCACAGCATTTCACCCACAAATAGATGGGCAGTCTGAAAGGACGATACAAACCTTGGAGGATATGCTTCGAGCTTGCGTTATGGATTTTAAGAGAAGTTGGGAGAAACACCTACCTCTCGTTGAGTTCGCTTACAACAATAGTTTCCTAGCCAGTATTGGAATGGCACCGTATGAAGCACTTTATGGACGAACTTGTCGATCACCAGTCTATTGGACTGAAGTAGGAGAAGCAACCTTGTTAGGACCAGACTTGGTTCATGAGACCACTGAGAAGATAAAACTGATCAAGCAATGGCTAACCACAATCTAAAGTCGACAAAAGAGCTATGCGGATCAAAGGAGACGACCCTTAACGTTTGAGGTAGGGGATCATGTTTTTCTCAAAGTTCGACCTTGTCAAGGTACTACACGATTTGGGAAGAAAGGAAAACTTGCACCTCGTTATGTGGGACCCTTTGAAATTCTGAGCAAGATAGGAGAGGTGGCATACTGTTTAGCACTACCACCGCAGCTCGCAGCGGTGCACAATGTTTTTCACATCTCAATGTTATGAAAATATGAGACACATCTTTCCTATGTTATCAACTGGAGAGATTGATCTCAATGAAGATGCAAACTTTGAGGAAAGGCCTATAAAGATTATGGATCGATGAGAAAAGAACGTAAGAGGCAAAGTAATCCACTTGGTGCGAGTGTTGTGGCAACATCGAGGAGTGGAGGAGTCTACTTGGGAGAGAGAGGATGCAATACGAGCCAATTACCCTCAGTTGTTTGAAGATAAAGGTACGCGTTAAAATTTCGAGGGTGAAATTATTTAAGGGGGATAGGTTTTAAGAACCTGAATTTTTAGACAACTAATTAGTTTGATTAATAATAATATTAAGTCAATTAACAATGATTATTAAATTATCGAATTATAATGTTGATAGCATCATGGTTGATACCAATATTAGATTCCTTTAAATAAAATTATTTATCTTTCTGTGATAAAATTTTTTGTATCTAAATATAGTTGTGGAAACTAAATAAGTTAAACAAATAATAACTAAGTTAGTAAGAAAATAGTAGGGAGCAAAATATCTAGTGACTAGGTTATATATATTCATTGATTTTTATTTTTGTACAAAAAGAAAAAAAAAAAACCGTAATCAGAATTTATTTTTGGGCAGAGAAATTCGGCCCTTTTGAGCAAGCATGCCAATGCATGCCAAAGCTTGCTTACTGCCACACTCCAAAGCCTACACTCATAGATGGCAATTCCAAGCCTCTATCAAGGTAGCCATGGCATGCAAACATGCTGTAAGCTTCTCTTATAGATGATAGTTCCTAAGCTAAAATAGAAATAAAGTTAAAAAAAATAATAATAATAAAATAGCTCCTCAAACTCCTATAACTAGGAGCACTATTCAACCTTCCATTACATACACGTAACTGAGCAAAAGAAAGAGAAATAGAGGGAGAGAAAGCAAGAGGGAAAGGAGAAAAGAGAGGAGAAGAAAGGCTCAACACTTGGGGTTTTTTTTTACTTCATTGGGGTAAAAATACTCAACCCGTATCCTTCCTTAGATGTTTTTCTTAACTAAATCTATACATTAAAAATATGCAAGAGTATGTATTGATAATACACAAATGCTCAATGCATGTTACATTTGGATAGAATGATAATCTTATGATTATGTGATTTTTATCCTTCTTGCAAGTATGGATTAGATGGTTTAGCTACTGATTTTGCTCCTTATGTGTTCAAATATTCTCCATTATTGAATTAATCTTGCATACTTATGAATTTGTGTTTACTCTTCATACATATTATTTTCTGTTACCACCAATGAAAGTAAATATGAAGGATTAGAGTTTCACATGGGAATAATAGTAAGAAACATTTTTTTTTAGTCTTGCATGTGATTCGTGGTGAATACAAAGTGTGTTTTTCGTAAACTAATGAACTTTTAGTAAAACAGATTTTTAATCCGTTTTGAATAAACCCTAAACAAACTCATGAGGACACTTTCATAAAATCTGAAACTACTGGAGTTAGTTTAACATGTTTTTATGTTGTGATTCACTTTCCCAAAATTATTTGACAACGTTTTTTTTATTCTCTGGATGGGTTTGGGGATGGCTTGAACTATATAAAGCACTTGAAAACTCTAAATGTTTAGGGAGGCAATTCATTTTGTAGAAGACAATACAAGAAATTAGAAAATGGGAGAATGATTTGATACAGTTGTAATTAGGTGGCATCTTCATTTTGTTTCTATGTAAAACATTTGATTTTATTTGTGAAGTGATGATTGGTCCTATATATCAAAGTAAAAAATTGATTTTGCTTGCGGGATTATTGTTCAGATTCATTTTTTCCTTCCAAATTATTTTTAGTATTTGTTGTGGTCAATACAAGCTATGCATTTCATATCATCTCTATTTTTTTTTTTCCTCAATTAATTTGTCATCATGCAATTTATCGTGTGTTGCTTCATGCATTGTTGGGAATTTAAAATTGTGGCATCATCATGTCTTTCAAATATTACAAATATTGTGTTTTATAGTAATGATGACACAAATTTTTGATTTTTTCGTGAATTTTGCGATGAATAGTTTGTAAATATTTTCCTAACTCGATGAACTAGCACCACTTAAAATATTATAATTGTTGAACTTTATTTGGTATGGGTTTCATATTTTTTTTGTCTGACCATACAGTGCTGAAAGAGGAAGTGTGCGAATTCTTAAGAAATTTTGTGATGATTCCTAAGACATTCTATCACATTTATTTTGGTTGCCATATATGATTGTGTTGTGCTATATAAACATTATGTCACTGTGGTTCTCAAACTAAAACTCGCATATGCATAAAAATGTGAATTTGAGGAAGTAAAGAAACATGAAATTGAACCGACAATACATTAAAAATTTAAAAGTGATGGGGTGAGCTCAGTTTAGAAGCTTGCACCAGGGAGTTGCAAACCCTAACATGGTACGGGAAGGTATTTTGGCTCTTATCGGTGTAGGCGATATAAGGTTGGTGGTGCGGGTGTCACAACATAGACCGTTCCCTTGGGGCAGACCGTGATGTCACGACTCGGGTACGTAACCCTGGTGCGTGGGCATCATTGGTAGTTACAGCAAGTAACATTTGAATATTTGACCAAGGCGGAGTCAAAATTGCCTGTGGTCATTGCTTAGCAGTTGAGTGGAAATAGTGCTCCGCGGGGAGTTACTTAAACTTATCTGATAAACTAAATCCATGAGAATTTAAAAAGAAAAGTGGACATTTTCGTTATGATAAAATACTGCTTCCGTTTGCCATTGTTTTTATTTATTTATTTATCTACTGTTATTATTTCAACTGATGGCATTCCTGTCCTGTTCTGCTTTTTAAATGCTACCTGTTATTCTGTTACTACTCATTATTCATTAATTGTGAGTATTATTATCGGGGTGGGTATTTTTGGGTTGTAGTATATTATTGAGCTCGTCGCTCATTGGCATTCTCGTTGCCCTGGCGTTTTATGCCAAGTACCGAAGAAAATGAAGGAAACATTGAGGCCTTGCAAGGTGACATTCAGCCTTGGTTAGCTTAAAGAATCTCCAAGTTCCACGAACCATTTTCTAAGTTTCCTAGTTTTTCTCTAGTTTTATTTTATATTTGTGTTTTTTTTTTTTTTTTTTTTTTGTACTGAGACTAAGTTTTAAGTTTTATTAGAATTGTAATTTGAAAAATTTCAATTTCTGGGTTATTAATTAATGGATGTTAGTGATATTGGTGGCAACATTGATTTTAAGTTCTAAATCTTATTATGATGTCCTTAGAATTTGGGCCGTCATATAAACCAGGTGGACGAAACACAACGGATTTATTCACACAGTCAATAGTTGCACAGTACTTCGTCAACCAGTCCATACCCAGTATGTAATCAAAATAATCAATACCCAATAGCAATAAATCAACATACAGTGTCACATCACTAATTACTAGTTCACATGCCGGATAAACATAAGTACATACCATAGAACCCCCAGATGGTGTAAAAAGAGACAGTAAATTATTCATAGGTTCTAAAGGTCTAATCAATTTTCGAGAAAAGGCATGCGACACAAATGAGTGTGTAGAACTAGAATCTATCAAGATATATACATTTTGGTTATAGATGGAAATTATACCTGACACCACAGACTCGGCGTTCTGTACATCCCCAGGTACTAATGCGAACACTCTTCCCTGTCTCAACGTCTCATTTCCCTTGTTACCCCTGGCATTAGCTTGTGCATTTGTTCTTGCTACAGAAGCAGACCTGGCTGAACTTGTTGCAGGAGGGTTAGCATCATCAGATCTTAGCAGACAATCTCTAACCATGTGGCCAGTCTTGCCACACCGAAAACAAGCACCTGATGGACAGTAACATGTGCCTTTATGCTTTCTTCTGCAGTCAGGACAGTTTGGGATGGATCCACTACTCTAACTAGAGCTATTGGAGGATCCCTTATTCTGCCTTTTTGAAAATGACCGACCCTTTTGGAAATTAAACCCGGATCGTTTACCTTTCCATTCAGTTGTTAGAGCTGGAGCTTGTTTCTTTGCTGCCAAAATGGCCTCTGCCATCAATGCTTTATCAAGGACTTCCACATATGTAGGCAACTTTAAAATGCCTACTCGATCAAACACATCCAAATCTAATTCCCCTTCAAATTTCTGAGCCTTTTTGTAATCTGTGTCAGCCATATGAGGTGCAAATCTAGCCAACTCTGTGAACTTAGCTTCATATTCGGCTACGGACATCTTGCTTTGCTTTAGTTCTTGAAATTCTGACACTTTACGGTCTTTAAAGCATTGAGGAAAATATTTCTCGTAGAATATTACTTTAAACTGACTCCATGTCATAGTTCCATTGCTATCTCAGATAAGTATCCACCATCGTCTAGCTCCTTCTTTTAAAGTATAAGTGACCAAAAGAACTTTTTGCATTTCCAAGCACGAAAATACTTCAAATATCTTTTTGGTCTCTAGCAGCCATGTTTTGGCTTTCAACGACGCAATCCCACCCCAAAAGATTGAGGGCTTCATTTATTGAACTTCTGTGTTAGTGCAATAATATCAGTGTTTTCCGATTCAACTGGCACCGGAGGTGGTGGAGGTAACGATTGTTGCCTCTGTTGTTGCATCATTGCTTCTGTCAAAGTTGCAAGCATCTGTTTCATTCAGCTCATTCGAGCCTTTGAAGATTCAATGGTTCCATCACTTCTTGTATTTTCCATTGCTATAGGTAAACAGAGCACTGATAAATATAGGTAAATAGTTCTTTTCACAATGTTCGGAACATTCACTCCCAGTTCATTTGTTTCAATTTCATGTGTGCATGATTAGATTCAATTGTCACATTTACAGAAATTAACACACACACTCATACATATAAATGAAATGTCCCTAATTCTTTTCTAGGACATCTTATAGCTCATATGGACTTGTGTGTGCGGTATAACTCGTGCTCTGATACCACTCCGTCACGACCCAAACTCGCCCCTATAGGTTTAGCGCCGTAACCGACCAGTAATCCTTAGTTTACCAAAGGCCTCTGAATAGAATAACATATAATTTAGGGCTGCGAAAGCAAATATATAAAACACGTTATCCATAGAGCTGTGCTGACGTATATAGGATAGAAATTCAAAACTTTATATACAATTATGTGACATCAAAAAATAAAGTCGTCTTACGTCACATTCATTACAGATAGAGCAAAAAGGGAACTAAGCCCCATATACAGATAAACAAAAATTTGCTCATACATCAACAGAAAACAAAGTCTTAAACATTTACAAAACATGGCCACAAGGCTTGACTTAATCCGGAACCTACTTGGGAGGCACAAAAGGGTAACTGACACACCAAAACTCCAAGCAGCAGCTTAGGCCTAGTCACGCGCTTGGTCACCTACATACATAATATAAATAGTGAGCGGAAGCCTAGAGAATAACAATAGAGTAAAGAATTTAATGAATGATGTCCCATAGCAGCTTTCGAATCAAAAACAAATTCAATTTCGCATACTTAACCAGAGATTATAGCAGTTATATATGGTACATCCATTTAGCTGTCTTATTATATCAAATTTGCATAGTCAGTACCGACGACCACATAGGTCCACATCTTGTGCACAAGTAGCCATGGTATTGTTACCCCCAGGTGAGGGCCACGTGAACATAGGCCTCAGTATTGTTACCCCCAGGTGAGGGCCACGTGAACATAGGCCTCAGTATTGTTACCCCCAAGCAAGGGCCACATGAACATAAGCCACAATATTTTTACCCCCGGGCGAAGGCCACGTGCATATTAGCTACGGTATTGTTACCCCCGGGCGAGGGCCACGTGCATATCAGCCATGGTATTGTTACCCACGGGCAAGGGCCACGTGAACTATGGATGCCACAAATACATTTCAGAAAAATAGACATTCATTCATGATTCACAAATAGCATTCCTGATAGCAATTCAGAAAACAGATCTTATTACATCATACAAAAAATAAATAAAGTTGAACATAGTTTTACTAAGTTATTACTCATAGTTGGCTTCAGATGCAGATAGACAGAGTAGATAATTCAAAGAGCTTACGGCGCGTGACCTACACAAACATAACAGATACATTATTGAAACACACAGCCGATATAACTTAACCCAATATATTCTTTCTTAGTGTGTTTCTAAGTCTTTATCCTTATTATTATGTCTTAATCTTGGCCTAGGAATGCCTAGGATAGAATTAGGATGCCAAAACATGTTCAATACTTAGCCAAATTTGTTGAAAACAGAGGCCTCGCTCGAGCGGAGGTCCAAAAATGTGAGCGGTCGCTCGAGCGCAACTTACTTTGCTCGAGCGATCTGTAAACTTTGCAAAAGTACTGGTCGCTTAATTTTTCCGCTCAACGCACACTTGACTGTCACTCGAGCGTAAGACCGAGATTTTCGCTCGAGAACAACTCTTGCTGCTCGAGCTATCTGCAAAACATGGAAACTTCTAGAAGCATGCAATATACGCTCGAGCCAAATTTAGGTCACTCGAGCGGAGGTGCAAAACACAGAGTGGTCGCTCGAGCACAGGATCTGTCGCTCGAGCAGAGAAGCAGAATCTAGAATTTTCAAATTGCTGTACCAAGTTTGAAACTCAAATTCAAAGCTAGAAATCATGGTCTTTTGGGCCAAAAACTTGAGAAAACACTTGAAAACTTATAAAACATTATGAATTAAGGTTCAATACACAAAATCAAGGCCCAAAAGCGAGTGAATTCTTCAAAACCAAAACCATGGTGAGTTCTCATAGTGTAACACAGATAAGCTCTTGCATGTATGAAATTGTTGGAATAAAACTCAAAATCCATGAATTATGCATGCATGCATGCATGGAATGATCCTCCTTTCTAATTCATTAGCTCAATTCTTGCATAACTTAGCTTAATTCTCTAGAATTCATGTATTAAAGTCTTGATTACAAAGTTTAAGGACAAAATTCTTACCTAGGGTCTTAATTGCACAAGTGTAGAAGCTTAAACTCCTAAATTCTTTGTAATTCTTCAACAATTCCTAGCAATTCCCATTTACCTAGCTTTTAATCTCAATTTTCTTCTATCTCTCTCTATTCCCTACGTTTTTTAGCTTAATGAGTAGGGAATGAAGGTGCTAAATGAACTAATGGAGTCAAAGTAGCCTTATATTGGCTTAATTAAGGAGGCTTAATTAAACTTGACTTAGGTTAATCACATTGACATTAATTATTCTAATTTAATTCGTTCCAAATCGAATTTCAATTCAACCTACCATAAAATTCTAAAAATTCCAAATAACACATAACTGTAATTAATTTCGTAATCGAATGTTGATAAGGCCTTCAATTCACAAAACTAAACAGAAATACAGACATATATTCCTACCATGAACATATATAAACACCAATAATGCAATACACATGCAATTAATTCAGAATTTCATCTTAATTACTCATTAATCACTCTTAATCATATGTTTTAAGCTAATCACGGATCGGGATTATTACACTTTTATAGTTAATTACCATTCTGGCTTTTTCTCTTTTAATTTTTGCATGATTTCTAACCATAAATGCAGGACATGAATGAGGACTAGTAGTTACTTCAATGAGATTTTTCTCAAGAAGTTCATTAATTTGAATTTCGAATTCATCTATATCCTGGAGGGTATAGATCATTGGGTTTACCCTAATTATTATATTAGGATTTTTTGAATTTTAAACTACAATATCGTGGGCTACGATGTCATAGTTTCAAAGGATTGTCACTAAAATTTTTAGTTAAAATTTTATAAATCCAATGAGATTTATCAAGAGTATTTATATATGGTATTAAGTCACCACGCTTAGTTGGCGTGAACTCGTGATCACATATATAATGATGTTATTCCAATAAAGGAATTGTTACCAATTGTGGTTGAGAGTTAAACTAATTGTTTTTTCAACAAGCATGATTGGTAAATATACAAATAAAAAATTATTGCCAAGCATTGGAGTTGGAGTTTGTGGATGATGGAATTGTAAATGACACCTAGGTCCCTCCAAGAGTGAAAGGGACATGGGTAGAATTACTCTCCTTTTGTTTGGGAATTTAAGATAAAAAAACGAAAAGAAATGATTATACAAGTTGAAAAGAAAAGAAGGGAACCAACTTTGATATCTCTCTCATTTGGATAACAAGAATAGAAAATAAATATTTAAAAAAAAAAGGAAAATTACACTGATATTCTTTGAAATTTAGAGAATATATAATAATTTTCTCTTTTTATATAATTATATTGAATTCTCTTATAATGCATATAATATTTAACATTCTTTCTTAATAATTTGTTAGTTATATAGATAAAAAAAAATGATATTGTAATCTCTTTTATATGAGAAAGACACTTTACATTATTTATTGTTGTATTTTCGTAATAGCTGCATTAATTTTAGTCCATTTAACCTATCAAAATTGTGAGACTTATTGTATTTTTTTTCAAACCTCATGGGAGGTTAGTGTATTTTACTCTTAAAAAAAAAAAAAAAGAATAGATAATGATTTCGAAGGCACATGTAATAAAATGAAAATGTTATGATTATCGGATTGAATTAATTTTTTTCATAGATGATATATATTAAGAGACTTACAAAATGAATGGTTCGGATCATCGAAACGGTACCCGTGATGGCTCCCACGGATCTCTCAAGTTCTCTTATGTTGAAATATGAGGAGGTTGTTTGAGATTTGCTTATTTAATGTATTTTTTGACTTTTTATGAAAAAAATATGTAGAAAATTAGAGAAGTGATGTGACCTAAATAAGTGCACTTGTTTAGTGCATTCCAAATAACCCTGAACATGAGAAAAACCAAACCCTATTTGAATTTCAATTTTCAAACAATTAATTATTAAAATGATATGAACTGCGATAAAATGTGGCGTTGCCATAATTTGAACTACAAAACTACTCTCAAGACTCGGCTCTAATGCCATATTAAAACTTTAGAGACATCCAACTCTAGGGTTATCACCTCAATTCACTTTTTTCCTTAAAATTCTCTTTTTGACCCAAACTTGAATTAAACAAGTTTCTAAAGAATTCAACTAACAGGCATAAACAAGATTTTCCAAACTGTTAAACCATTAGAAGTACTAAACTTAAAACACAAATAACAAATATAATAATAAAAAATGAAGAATCATAAATTCTTGAAATGTTTAAGTTCCTCGTCCAAATAAAAAATGATTGGGATAATTACTTGTTTTTTCCTAATTGTTATTTTTTTCCCAATTGGTTTGCAATAATGGAATTCAATATTTAAAACCAACTCAGATAGATAGAGACAAAAGGGGGAGGCAA